GACCAGTGAAGCAGTCCTCCATCAGCGGTTACCGTTACATGGTAACATTCAGTGATGACTTCTCAAGGTACGTATGGATTTACTTCATAAAAGAGAAATTTGAAGTATTTGAGAAGTTTAAAGAGTTTCAATATACTGTGGAGAATGATATTGGAAGAAAAATCAAATGTCTCCGTACGGACAATGGGGGAGAATACACGTCACGAGAGTTCAATGAATATCTTAAAGAGAAGTTGATAAGACGACAACTAACTTGTCCAAATACACCACAACAAAATGGAGTGGCTGAAAGAAAAAATAGACATCTGGCGGAGATATGCAGAAGTATGTTGCATAGTATGAATGTACCAGCAAGGTTTTGGGCAGAATGCATGAAGACTGTTGTCCACATCATCAACAGGCTGCCGCAGGCAAGATTGAGATTTATCTCACCATTTGAGAAACTTAAAAAAATAGATTCCTACTGTAAGCCACTTTCGAGTTTTTGGTTGTGTGTGCTATGTGTTCGTGCCAGATCATCTCCGCAACAAGTTTGATAAGAAAGCTGTTCGTTGCATCTTTGTTGGATACGATGAACAAAGAAAAGGATGGAAGTGTTGTGACCCTACCACAAATCGGACATATGTGTCAAGAAATGTGGTATTTGATGAAGCATCATCTTGGTGGTCCAAAGAAGTCTCCCTGCCAGACTCAATAGCTCTTGAGCAAAAGCTGCAAGATAAGCTCAATGAAGTAGAACAAGGGAACAAGATAGACTCTAACCAGGAGGTATCTCCACAAAAGGAAAAGAAAAGCTTACCACAAACTGGAGCTTGTGAAACACCAGATGAGTTGCAAGAAGAAGTCCAAGAAGAGTCACAATCGCAACTGAGGAGGTCTACACGACTGAAGCGTCCAAACATCAAGTACATAGATGCAGCATTAACCGAGGTGGTTAACATCAAAGAGGCTGCTACCTTTGAAGAAGCTTCAAAGAGTAGGGATCGGAATAATCCGACGAAGGTGGAGATCCCCAAAGGGTATGGACGTTATGATGCTTGCAAAGTTTCAGGAATCGCTCACAAAAGACGCAAAGAAAAAATTAAGTTGGTGTTGAGGGGGAGTGTTAAGAATTCATCACCAACTTAATTCTTTACTTAAGATAAATCAAGAAAAATCTAGAATATTCCGGAGGTGTAGAGAATTGAAGGAAGATCTCTAGAATGAGTATTCTAGAAAGAATAGTCTAGAAATGTTCTAGAAAGAATAGTTCTAGAAAAAGATAGTTAGGAATATTCTAGAATAGAGTAGTATGTATCTCTCTAGATTCTTCCATCACCACCTATAAATAGAGGTGGTCCATTTGAGTTGTAAGCAACCAAGCAAGAAACCAAGCAAGAAATAAGAGAGCAAACAAGAGTGAGTGCTTAAGTCAAATAGTGTTGCTGAAGCAAGCAACAAGTGTGATCAAGATTGTAAGACCGAAGCGGGTCCTTACTTTGATATAATAAAATTCAAGTTGTGAGAAATCGATTGTGCCCGTCGTCTCCAAAACAATAATATTCAACACTCATCCCCAATTCTAGAGACTAAGTTTCTCATCTTCATTCTTATCTCTATCCTTACTTGTTATTTCAATATTTCCATTGTAATTAGATAGTTTGATTATTCCAATTAGAATATTAAAGTTGTAATAGTGTTCCAGTGCTCTTATTAATAGTGTGAGAATTTTGGTTTGTTACATCAGACGTTCTCTTTTCGAATAATTGAACGTCTCATATTATTTGCTAATGAAAAATATCATGAGTAGGACCCAAAAAGATAGTAGTACCAGATAACAAACAAAAAAATACTGTACAGTCTAAAAATAAGTATAGAATAGCTTGAACTTTTGGGCCGTTGTATAAAACACCCAGAAAGGGAGACAGGGGAGTCACTGGTCCACTTAATTATTACATGTAGTAAAATTATTAGTTATGTACTAGCAATACTGGAAGTATTATTTCATGGCATATATTGGTGACTAAGATAAGTGATAAGCATAATAAATAATTTAGAAGTAGGTGGATTCGAGTCATCAACGAGCTCCCGGGGAGGAATGAAAAAACTCTTAATAATAACTACAACATGGAGTGGCCACTGCTAGCATAGGTGATATCCTACGAATAATGATGCCACTGCCTTCCGTCATATCCAAATCCTCCGGTTTTAACACTTCTGGTAATGCTAAATTGAACTTGTGCACAATCCTTGCTAATGCTAGCTCAATTACCACAATAGCAAAACCAGTTCCTGGGCAGCCCCTTCTCCTAAAATTGTCAACTTTTTATATTTTGGCTTACTTGGAAGCAAGTCTATCCTCTCCTATCCAATCAATTAGGGTGGCCATTAATCAGATATTATTAGGCTAAAGATAACATATTGCTCCCTCCGTTTTTAATTATTTATCCATTTTTTTAGTTATTCCTAATTACTTGTCTATTTTGACAAATCAAGAAAGAATAATTTTTTTTACCTATTATACCGTCAATTTATTACTTTGAAAAAAGTAGAACTTTTTGAAAATCTTGAGTTTTTAATTCATCCACTTCATAATTAATATGGGTAAAATGGTAAACTCACTATTTCAATAATTGTTTTCTTAATAAGTGTGCCAATTTAAAAATGGATAAGTAATTAGGGATAGAGAAAGTATATCGAAATAATATAATCAGATATTATGCTAAAGATGATTAACAAAACTTTGAACAATTATAAATAAGATAGCAAAAAAATCGATTAGATAATACTTAGCAAATTAACACGGTTCAACGATTAGTGATGGAATCTGAATATGATTCGGGATTTTCACTATTAATGAAATTCAAAAGGCATAATACATAAATGTGCCCTTTAACTTGACTTCATTTTATGTTTATGTCGTTCAATTTTGGGTATGCACATAAACTTGTATAAAGTTGAACAACTAGCCACATGAGTTCTACACGACACAATACATTTAAGACACCACGTAGGATAAAAAATGACATGTAGGATACCATATAGGACATGTGTGTCTGTTTCTTCAACTTTATACAAATTTAAATGTCTACTTGTGCACACCCGAAGTTGAAGGGCATAAATGTGATTTGAAGCCAAGTTAAATGGTATATTTATGTATTATGCCTATTCAAAATATGAATAAGTAAACATACAAATTAGCTGACTACAATAATACAAAGATAAAAAAACAATTTTAATTATATGTATAAATAGTATAATTTTCCATCAAAGGTGGTTCATTTGATTCCTCACTTCTTTCCCTCATTTAAAACTATGCAATATGAGACTTTCATGTCACATGGAATCCTTCTCTTTTTTTTTTTTGGAAATCTTAATAGCTCAGTTAACTAACTGACTATTTGAATTCTCGATTCCCCATACTGTAATCCTCTACCCCAATTTTTTTCATTACCTTCCTCACATATGTATAAGACCGAATCCAAAGAACTAAGATGAGAGAATTTTGGGAGAGCCGCCACTCCAACTACTGCCATGTATTATCCATACTAGATCTGACCATCTGTCCATCCTACCCTCCTCTACGTTCTTGACAACCCATTTTTGTCTTAGTCAAGTCTTTTAGTGGCACATTTTGACCTTCTTTTCCATTACTTAGAAAAAGTGAGCTATTATTCAGATACAAAATACTATCATTATCGCCTAGAAAATTAGACATTCAACCCGTAATCACAATGATCCAATTACAAAAGCTCTGAACCCCCTAGGTCTAGACTGGCTCTGGCCCCTGGTTTTATCACTTGACCTTCACATGAGTAAACTCGTTGATATAGAGGATTACAGTATCGATTTCTTTAAAAGAAAAAAACCTTAATTTATAAAAGTTCAAAAGATTTTAATTCAATGTTTGTAAGTAAAAAAACATATTTCATAAAACGGTTGCAAATCACATCGAATAAGTTCCATTGATTGGTGTATGGTTCTCATAAGGGAAGTAACAGCAGCATAAGCCATATATCCAAAAAATAGGACTATCTCTCACTCTCAGTATGAAAATGGACAAATTAATTGCCACAAGTTATGAAAATGGCTAGTCCTCAGAACACCTTAACTACTTGCTGCAGAATAAAAAAAAGACGCAAAAAATGGAAAATAATATGTTAGATGTCCCATAATTAAGGAACAAGAGAACATTATAGTAAGAATGAGCATGCAGGTATAAGAACTTACTCATTATTGCGGCAAGAAGCAACTTCTTTCTCAAAGTCATCATCATCATCATCTTCATCTGTTGTTACAGTATCAAATACCAATTTCTCGAGCTGATATAAGTAGCGAAAATCATACAGGTCCTTGTGATTGCGAAAGTCCTCTGGGACGCCAAATACTTTCAACTTCTTTAAATTGGGAAATAGTCTAAAAAAAGACCCTGTACAATACCAAGGATTCAATTGATTGAGGCATTGCAAACTTTTCAAAACCAATCTGTTCTCTGTAGGCTCATGACTCTGCAAGTAATTCCAGCCCATACACAGCTTCCTCAATTGTGGCATTGTCAAAATTTCCGATGGTAATATGAAAGGATAAGCACAATCACGAAACGGAAAGTTAAACTTAAAAGTTTGTAGATAGCATAGGCTTGATATCGATAGAGGAATGTCTATTATTGATGAGGGAACAGCTTTTAACGATCCTCGATACTGCTTTAAGCAAGGATAAAAACACAAAGATAGGTATCTCAAATGAATTAGAGAAAGTACTCCACTGGGAAAAATTGGGTATATATTCAAACCAAGATCTAGTACTCTTACTAGCTTGAAAGACAATTCCAGTGTGAAGCATTTCAATCCACCCAACATGATAATAGAATGAGCCTCACTGTTACGACACCAAGCCAATTCTTCCTTCTTATAGATACTGATCCGACTTCGACTCTTAAAGGAACACTGCATGGATTGTGCACATGAATTTTGATCACTCTTTCCTCTGATAACATTCACAAAATTCATGTTTCGAGCTTCCCTCAAACAGAGTTCACGGATCACATCATGCATTCCACATCTCTCTATTTCCCCATCAAAACTCAAATTGTGGATAGAAATTAGACTTCTATCTACAAGTTCGTTTATACATGTTTCTGCCACCTCTTCTATGCTTTTTCCTTCTTCTTCATTCAAAAACCCCTCTACGGCCCATAACTCAACAAGTGCATTTACATAAATCCGTTCATCCTCTGCGAAAATTGCAAAATACAGAAAACACGGTTTTAGGTGAGAAGGCAAGTGATGGTAACTCAAAGCCAACACTCTCATGCATTTTGCTTCAAGATCTCTGCTTACCACCGAACTTACATTCTCCGCAACATTTTGCCACTCATCCAATGTTTTACTGATTTTGGAGAGAAGTCCAGCAATCAAAGTAATTTCTAGAGGTAACCCTCCACATTTTAATGCAATTTGTTTCCCAATATTTTCAAATTCAGGAGAATAAGAACCTTCTTTTTCAAAGATCTTTTTGTGTAGTAAATTCCAACTTTCGTCAAAATTCATGAGGCGCAT